TATATATATATATATATAATATACAAAAGATACCTCAAGATTGAATCGAGTTAGTATATCTTATATACTAGTGAAATGATATTTAAAATTACAGTTTAGTTATGCCACAATACTCCCTTCCCACCAGAATTTCATTCGAGATAAAATTCGATGAACGGATACCACTAGTGGCCGTATTTGCGAAAGACCGGGAGAGCTGTGTTAAGTTCACCAGATATTGAGCGCTTCTGGTGAGAGCTGTATAAAGTTCACCTGATTTTGAGCACTTGTATTAAGAGTTGTATTAAGTTCACTGTTGTTTGAATGGTCTCTATTGTGTTGCTGTTAGCAGTCGAATGAGTGCAGGATCCCGTTGAGTAAATGATACTGAGAAGCAACAGCGCGACGAGGTTTTATATTTAATAACTGCAGTGGTAGTTACGCCCCATAAACAAATGAATGTTTGAGATTTTGCTAAAATGATTCAGTTTATTTCTTTAAAACCCTAAAAATTAACTTTAGTTTCTTATTCTGCGACTCCTAGTTTCGGGAGAGGTATATCTGGAATATTGATTGTACCATTATCGTTTTCTCGCTTGCCGAAGTACATCATGGAATGTCCTGCTCTTTTTCCGAAGTACATCATGTTGTGACCATCAGCAGCTCTTTTACCGAAATACATCATGGAATGTCCTGGATTTTTCTCTCCCTCCCTCCTGCCGAATCGCATAAAATTGTGTGTCTCCTGAGGAATTCTCCTCTTTCCGAATCTCATGATAGTGTGACCCCTCTTGTAAGAGTTGTCATCCCCCTGTAAGAAATGAAGCAGGCTGTCATCTTCTCGTTTTCCCATGAACAGGAATCTGTGACGGGGATCTTCCCTCTTTTCAACTGAAGGCCTCTTCCCAAATCTCATGATATTGTGTTGACGTTTTCCAGAGGCAAGCATTGGCAGGGACGATGCATCATCCAGGGCTAGAAAGAAAAAAACAAATAATTTAGTCAATAAATTTTTGCTTACCAAGTGCGAAAAAAAAGCATACATTTAGCTTTTATGGATACAAATATTTTCGAAGCTATAAATGAATGGTTAGGTGAAAAATGAAACCACTCCTTGAAAATTTGCAAACTGCTGAAAGAAACGCTGTCAAAATCGGTGTTCCCCGTTTTAAAATTATTAACGAATTTACTGTGAATGATGTTACTGTGAATGACCCCAAATGAGTGATTTTTAAGGTCAAGTGCCACTGTCAAGTATGCATTTAACCGGTTCTGCGAACACTTATGTTTCTCCTAATCTATCCTCAGCAGATATTGAAATATCAAATAAATAAATTAGTATCATCAAATCGGATGCAACAAATATGTTGGACATTCACTGGTGAAATTCGGCATTATCTTCATTTCGGTCATTCACTGTAATTATATAT